ATATATATATATATATATTATGTAATTAAAATATTGAACGATTGATTGTTATCTATTTCTGTAAATAACAAATAAGCCCTTGAATCATTTTCATTGATAGTTTGGGCAAACATGTCATCTCATCAGTCATGGTTGACATTAATTCTGTACACAAAGCTCATGAATTTGAAGCGCAGATGTCATTATTTCCATGCATTTCTTTTTAGATACTTGTATTTTGTTTTCATTTTTATTGAGTTGTATTCAATATTTTTGAGAGATTGATTGTGTTTTAGAATTTATTAAAAACGACTACTAATACTGATACTACTGTTTTTTTAAATTAATAATTTGAAAAATAAAAAATTATATCCCTAATTCTAGTGCATATAGAATTAATAAAATTAGATGTACCATATCATATCTCCTTTAATATTTCTATTATTTATTGCATTTCCAACTATTTGTTATCAAAATAATAGGATGAAAATAAAGAAATGTAAACGGACAATCAAAATGTGATAGCATCGTTCTTATGTTATTAATAAGATAACATATATAATATGTAATTTGATAACAAAACGGATGTAACAACGATAATAATGAGCAATAGTGTTTTTTTTTGTCATATGTAATGTAACGAGTTTTATTGTATTTATTAATTCTTTTATTATTTTGATTTTTTTAATAATTATAATTATTTTTTTAATTTAATAATTTGGATTGTGAAATTTTGTAAGCTACTTGCTATTAATACCATGGGCTTGATTGGAAAAACAACAGTGCTTTTATCTTCTTTAAAGATAACAAGTACAGTATCCTAGGTATTTTAACTTCAAGCAAGATGGGTTCCGAATTTCCTCTTCGGGCCACGAAATCTGCTTTGATTATTAACAATGGCAGAAACGCACAAGGGCGATGGGCAGCCTCAACCACAAAAAGCACAGCAATAAAGCATGGCACATCACATCGGTAATAATAGAGACAACAGTACACCACTTGCCCAGAAAAAATGTCATTGGCAGCATTGGCAGCAGACAATGAAATAGTCAAATTTTAATTATTAGATTGTGGGTGGCAAAGCAAAAGTAGTTTTATGTACATGATTCAATCTTATCCCGATGATAAAAAGTAGGTCATGAATTCTTATTAGAAGGCTTCAAATTCAATTAACTTTGATCAATTGATTATTTTCTTGGTTGAATTTATTCTAGATTATGGTACTTTCTTGATTTTTCTTTACTTAAGAAAAGAATTTATGATACATATGCTGAAGATTGTTAGATTATAAATGTAACTTATTTGATCATTTAATTATTAAAAAAAATTTTATCCATGCAAAATCAGTCATCTGTTTTTTTTCATTTCGTTACGATCGAGTAGCAAAGAAGAGAATAGGACGTGGACCACATGGTGAAAATGAGTGAGGAAGCAACTCAATTCATGTTAAAAACCAACACTAATTATTAATAATAAGTTATAGTAAGTTATTTATTAATATTCCAGCAGTGGTAGCTACCTCCAGTATTGGTAGAACTGTAAAAGGTTTTTTCCGAAGGAGCACCATGACTCTTTTGAAAACACATGGTTGATTAATGAGGGACTCTGGTTGGAGACTTAATACTCTCCTTTGATTTCTTTATCGTGTTCTGCTGGGGTTTGTGCATCCATTACAGGCTTCGGAAACAAGGGTTTCATTTGAGTGTCAAAGTTGATACAGTGCCAAATTTCCCATCACCAAGTTATTTTCCGAGTACGAAACAAACCTATTCTTTTCTCTCACTTAAAGCTAGTCATGAAACCGAACCTATATTAGCTTTGTTTCTTTCTCTCACTTGAACCAAGTCGTCATGAAAGTGGTATTCTTCTTCTTTCACAATCAAAACGCGCGTGATTAGTGGTGGTCGGTAATGGAGGGTAGGTAGTATTCGTGAGCGACGACTTACCGCGATAAAGGTGTAGGGTGTATTAGTGTTGTCCATTTTAGTGCTCTTTGCCTGCGGTTTGGATATCACCCCTGATCCTTTTTGCGTCTCTTCATATATATTATGTGGAACCGGTAATCGGATAAAGATTTTTTTTAAAAGATTTTCAATTAATAGGTGGAAAATCAACACAATTCCTACACTTAATTGGCAAATAAACTTACACAAACTTAGATGTTTCAACAATAAGCTGAAAAAAATCCCAGCAACACACTTACG